ACCGTGAAAATGCTCGCGCAGAGACGAAAGCGACGTTTCGTTATCGCTCGATGGCGCGGACGTGATGTATCTCGCGTGAATGGGCATGGGAAGCGGCCGCAAACGCGAATAATTACGCAAAGAATCGCGGTATCAACACTGAGGCCGGCTGGCTGATGTGTGCTTCCACCGCGCGCATCATTTGTTTATAAACAGGCGGCCCGGTGCGCGACAGAGAATCGCCATTAATCAATCGAACGGTCACGTAACTGTCTCAATCGCCGCGGCCATCGATTTATCGCCCGTAACAATAACCCCAATCCACTGTCCGACGTTAGAACCGCGGAAGTGCTGCTGACAAAACAGATCAACCCCTTTCGCGATCGTTCGGTCGGTGATAAATAGGATCGGTGCGTCAGTTTTGCATAGTGACCCCTCCCTTGTAATCGCGCCGACGATTTTATGCATCGTAATCGGTCCAATTTGAAACGATACATCAACCTTTCGCACATGTCTGTCTTCGCTTCAAAATCTTGTAGAACCTGTACATTCAATCCCTTCCAAAAGTATTAGGACACCTTCTTATTCAATATAAATTGTAGTTTTCCATTCAGATTAGAAAGAAATACATTAAAAACGCGGTGGACGAATACGTAACCGAAAAAGAACTTTAATTGTCTTTTATAAAATTGATGTTATTTTTATTATACCGTTAAATAAATATAATCTGCTTGTTACACTTTCGTAAAATTAAGTTTGAAATAAATTGAAGAAATTATAAGAATTTCCTATCGGTTTCACAAATTTATTTAATTTTTTGTAAGTGTCCTAATACTTTTTGAGGAGGGTAAACGTCTAGCCTCCGACTTATGCAAACGATTTTAATTCTTCATAAAACACTGCGATCTGTTAATTATTTCTTCATTAACGTATGATGAATGGACAAGAGGTTTGCAATCAATGGCTTTGGAACAAATAAGCATTAGATATTTACGCTTCAATTTAGAACATTTTTTAATTTCTAACATTATAAACGATTGTCAATATTGATGTTATTTTTAAAAATTGGTAAAGTGCACGAACTGTGTACTTTAATTTAAAAAATAATTACTCTCGTAACAGAACACTATTTCTTTTATTAATTAAATTCTTTGGTTGTAATATCGTATTTTCAATGCAATTGAACAAGATAAAATAGTCATCTTGTGAACATCTTGCAATTATCACCTTAATATTTGTCACTCTTATCAATCTTCTGTCACTATTGACATTATTATCAAGGTTAATGTTTAAATTCTTTCAAGTATTGTACATTTCGATGTTGTTCATATTTTCTAGGTGGTTTATAGACATATGAAGTGGGTATATATCATTTGGTCTACACACATCTTGTGAATAAAAATGATTGATCGAGTGCATTCGTAATACACTTAAGTTTTCAGTAAACAGTTAACAATAAACCTACCGAGTACCAGAATTAACCGACGTCTGTTGTTCTACGAGAATGGCAACACTTAATTTATTTAGATATTTTAATGTTTTTAAGATAATATATATATTTGAATCGAGAAGTTTATTCAATAATTTCCTGTAATATCTACGTTCTCAGAATAACAAATTGTAAAACTGGTTGAAACAACCGGTACGGTAGGTTGAGTGCTAAATATAAACGTATTTGGTAATGTACAAATTATTTATGTGTCTTGCGACTGGTGTGCCAAATGTTTTTTACGCAGAAAAATCAACAGTGTACTTACAATGATGTTTCAGAGACGTCATGGATTCCATGTGATAAACTTGAGTATTTGTATTTTTTTTAATTATAAACTCACTGTCAATCAACGTATGTAATGGCAACCTATCCATTTCAGTTCCAAGTTATTTCTAAATTTTGAGGTGAAGAAGTAACTCGTAAGTACACTGTTGCTAATTTTTGGGACGATGTATATTTGTACCATTGGGTACCACGTGATAACTGATTTATCAATATAATATAAGTGATACAACGTTTACTGTGAATAAAAAGAAAGAACAAGATAAAGATAGCTCGTGAAATGTTTAAAACTTTACACTCGAAAATTTGTTTTGATAGGTAGCTTATATAGAACTAGTTCAAGAGACCTCTTCCGATGTAAATTAAATACGATCGAATGAGCTGATCAGCAACCAGTACGTTGTCCTAAATGTTCCACTTCAAAACTTTCCGTTTACATTAAGGTTACAAGAGCATTCTGTTTTTACGTTAGGCGTTCGGTGTGATGCGAACATACATACATACATGTTTCGAACAAGCGTACGATCACCATCAACTACAAACTTTAATAAACAAATTTAGCAATAAAAATAAATTAATTTAGCAATAAGAGAGTACTCCAAAAAAGAATCGAGAAATAAAATGAATAATCGATTCGATTGGATCAGAACAGTTTCTTAAATACTCGTTTTAGAGAGAAACAAATACAAGATGCATGTAATTGAAAAACTGTACTTTTCTAATGCACAGAATCTCGAATCGATAATATATTTTGCACACAATAAACCATGAATAAAATACTTCCAAATACTTTCAAATAAACACCAATGTCTCCACAAATTATTTTTATCATGACACTGTAGTAGTTAATATGTAAGAACGATTTACTTATATACTTAGTATTTAGCATAAAATAAATTTCTTTTGCAGTGTTGGAAGATTTGTAATTAAGAAAAAGGTCAGCTGCGATTATCCATCGATTTAACAAGACTTGCACACAATTTCGGAGCATTGGTTATACTAAATTTTTGAAGAATAATATTTTCTTCCTAAATGTTCAATTTTTGTGTTAGTTATGGTCAATTACACAATTATAAAATTCCAGTTTCACAGTCATTTTCTAGTGCAAAAATTGCAGTCCTAATAAATTCTCTATTATCATTCTTAAGATATAATAAACCTTCAAAGAGAAATATTTGTTTCTGCTGTGTAGATTTCAAGAATATTTATTACTCAGTCAGAAGAAGAGTCTAAACACTCTATTTTTTAAATATTTATAGTATGTGTTTCTACAACATTTTCATTACGTGGATTAGGTAAGTATTATAGAAATCTTGATTTTTCTCGTTCCAACTGCATTGTAGTACAGTCACGTAATCTTTTAAACTTTACCGAATATTATTTTCTCCACCTATGTTATTGCATGCGTGATACTCCTTTGTAGTTATTAAAACAGACATCGTCACGTGAAAATAAGCAACTGCAGATTACGTGTCCATCACCGGTGATCGATGCTGCGGTCAATGTGCTAACTGTGACTATGTATAGCACATCGAATACATTAAAAGTCCATTTATGTAAATAACGATATTTTAGTCACGGTATTTTTAGTTAACGTTAACTATTTCGTTTATTTGTTATGAAATAACGAAATAATTCATTTTTTCTTATTACTTCAAAATACATATTGCAAATGTTTATTTTTAGAATTTCTGCGTCATTTCCTTTAGAAATACAGAAACAATTGATTTCATCGATACATTTATCCCTTAAATTTTTACACATTACTCCAAAATAAAACTTAATTCTCTAAGAATTATAATTCGTGTAAACTCTCTCTCTGTCTCTCTCTCTCTCTCTCTCTCTCTCTCTTTTATACGAACTTTATACGAACAGGAACTCTAATGCTGATAAAAAATCGTAAATAGAAGAAGGTACAGAGGAACATGATTACTTCGAACTTAAAAATGCATTTGTTCATTAACCCAAAAATTAAAAATGCTTTCTTTAATT